GGAAGGTGAGAGTGAGAGGGCGGGTGGAAGAGAAGGAAGAGATGGAGGGAGAGGGAGGGCGGGATGGAGAGGGCGAGTGGAAGTGAGGGAGAGGGAGGAAGGGCAGGAGGAAGGGATAGAGAGGGAGAGAGGGAGAGAAAGGGTTACACATAAATATTCTAAGCCGCTTGAAGCGAAACGTTCTTTTGCCCAACGCCTTACTTTGCTTTGGGGCAGAAGAACTGATGTGGCAGCTGACGCGGCTCTCTACTTTTGTCTCCTTCTCTGGACTCTCTACTTGTTTCTCCTTCTCTTTCTTTCATGGTCCCAAGAAGGCCCCTCAGGCTCCCAAGAGGGCCCCAAGAGGCGCCCAAGGGGCTCCAAGAAACCCCGAAGAGGCTTCCAAAGACTCCCAAGCGGTCTCAAAGAAGCGGCCCTCAAGAGGCCTCATCCCCCCAGAGGCAGCCAAGACGCTCAAGCAACAGCCAGCTGGCCAGTCTCCCGCCCTGTGACTGTCGAGCCAGGGTGGGGCAAACAAGCGGTGGACGTTTTGGGGGGACTGGGTGGTGCCGGAGACGAACCGACCTGTCCAAAGCCATCGCCATATATCCTTTGGACGTGGAGATAGGGCTTGGGCAAGCAATACACGGATGTGGGCGGGGCCCACGTGTCTGAAGTCGTGCACCCTGGATGGCGGGCACGGCCCTGCCCACATAATCTCGTCACCCTTCCAGCTTCACCGGCTGTTGCCCAAGCGCTACTTCAACGCACGTATGGCCAGCCTGCGTCGGCAGCCCTGCAGAAGGAAGCCGAAGGCAGCAGATACTGAGAAGCCGATTGCCTCTGTGAGCATTCGCCGAATCACTGTCCAGGAGCAGTTGTGGCGGTTGAGCAGATACGAGCTTGAGGGCATATTGTGGCGGTCCCGAGGAGACACGCTTAGACAAACCAAGCAGAGCCTTAGGGAACATGGAAATAGCGACTGAGCTAGGCCGCTAGGCATGGGCCTGTGAACCCGCGGGAGCCCCTATACACAAACAAGCACTAGCACAACCCCAAGCAAACACACACAGGCACACACGAATACACATACATACAGACACACACACACGCGCGCACACATACACACACGCACAGACATAAACACACATGCACAAACACACGTACACTTCCACTTCCACTTCCACTTCCACGTCCACGTCCACTTACACGTACACTTACACCTACACACACATTTGTTGGCGGAAGCGGGCTCGCGCGCGGAGACTAGGCGGAGTGAGTAAGAATGGGGTCGCGGCTGGGCCTTCAAGAACAGCTTCGGATCCCGCAGTACCTTCTGCCATACAGCACACCCGGGCCTGGATGGCAGTGAGGTGACACGCCAGCCAGGAGGGTCCTGCCCGACGTGGCCGAGCAACAGAAGGAGGTGCGCCACACAGTGCATCCGGGCGTGG